GCTCAGCAACGGATCAATTACCAGACAAGCAAGTGATAGTGAAATCAATGAAAGATCATCAGCCACATTATCAGTGTTGCAACTCATTAGGGTAAAACTGAGAAATGTGCTCAAAGCGAGCCCAAGCAAGGTGGCATTACAAAACAAAGGGCTAATTTGGAGACCCTGCTGTGAACAATCTGTAACAGAATTAGCCTTTTTTTCCCCTAAACTGCAGAGCTCTGTAACTAAATGTGACAGACTGAGAGAAGCAGTTTATTAAGACACCAACTCCAAGTTTATTTAGTTCATAAACTCTCTCCTAGAAAATCAATACAGTCTGTACAGGGTTATTAGGCTGACTAGCTAATACATCCAAATCTGGTCTTTCCAAGCAGAAATCTTGGCCGGAATGCTATAACCTTACAAGAAATCTAAGCACATTCAGATCACTGTATCAAAGCAGAGCTACCATTTAATTGTCAAATGTGTGACTTCTACATCACAGTCTAAGAACATTTTAAAGAAAGAGATATTTCCCCCCTGCTAACTAACATGACAGAGAAAAGAAACAAAATCTAGTCTGCCAGTTCCAGTCCAGCTCAGGTCATCCTTAAATTTACGCTGCCTACAAAGCATCTAATTTAGTGCAATAATGCCAGCATATAAAACCAAGAAAACAAATACTTACTGAATTTCAAACAGGGACATGAAAAGTAGCAGTCACTTAGGAGATAAAAGTAATCACTGCAGGAAAAATATGACAGAAGTACACCTCCTACAGTAGCAGATTAAGCCTCCTCTAACTGCACAGCAATATGAGGAAAAAGAAGAAAAAAGGAAAACAAAAAGAAACAAAACAGACAGAAAAATTAAGAAAATTTGTTATAATCAGAATCCAAGCTCAGAACCCACTGCTTTCCTTTGTAATCTATTGCCCTCTGCTTATTGTTATAATTCCTTTGGAGGCAGAAATATTCTTCGAATCAGCTGTGGGAAGCACAGGAACTACTTGTTAGTACACAAGTTTGGCACAAACTGAGTAGAACAGAATTTTCTCTCTCCCCCTTGGCTAACTCATATGAGAATCAGAAACAAGGTAAGGGCTCTAACAGCATTTAAAACAAATCTGTTTAAAAGCATTAAAGAAAATCTCATTTTCAATAGATTTTTAATCAGGAATGTGTTCTGCAAGTATTTTACTGCTATCCAATGGCATTTGTGCTGAAAGATAAAAGGATCCGTGAAATTATTTTACATTTTCAGCTCATGGGAATACCCGGCTGCTGAATAGAAGAGGTGGCTACAGAATCCAGGTTCTAATGGAAGTTAAAACACAGTGCAGTTGCAGTTCTCTACTTGTGTTTTTGAGAATTTTAGCTGTTCTGTAAACCGTATGTGAGATTAAGATTTTTTCTTTTCTTTCCTTTTTAAACTAATACCCATTATTTACTGTCAATGACAATTACATTATAGGTGTGATTTTTTTAAATGCAACTTTGATGATTTCATCTCTCCTCTTAAAACTAGCAATACAGAGATGCACAAAGGGGCGGGAAAGGTGATTACAGAAAGTCCAGATAATTCCAATAGGAAAATCTATTCTGAAGAATGTGCTAAATAATGTATATGCATCATATTTTTTTCTAAATTCCATCATTATGTTCCTTTAAGTGTTAATTAGTTCTGTCAAAGGGTTAATACAAATAGTTCAAAATGATTAAACATTGAAAAAATATTCTCTTCTTTTAGTTCCAATTATTCTGTATTATTAATTAAGCTGTTAAAACATGCAACAGTTACTATCTTTTTAATGTTCAATAATATGTAAACTCTTTAAAGAGATTTTTGTTCCACGTCTCTGCTTTAGATATTAATCAAGAAAATAATTACAGAGGAATTTAGGAAAAAAAAAAAATCTACATGCATATAACTATGTACTGTACATGTACGTTCAACAAGGTCCAATTAGTTGGAAAGAATTTGCATTTCAGTTAGTATGAGCTAACAAGACTGTAGGGAGACAATGCAATTCTACTAGCAGGGCAAGAAAGAATGGTGTTTTCCTGTAAGCATTAATTCCCATAACTGATAATTTTAAAATGTTACTGATCTTTACAGTATTTGTTTTTCTAACATCTAGGAGTTCAGTATAAATGTTTATATTAACTGTACATGCAGCAGTGTCCCCCAGACTACTTCTGGGTAAAAATAAATAAATAAATAAGTAAAATAAAAAAAAATAACAACAGTGAGCCCAGATTTATTTATTATTTCTGTCAATTTAGAATTTAAATGTCTTTTTAATGATAACTATAAAATGATTATTTTAAAGGAGTTTCCCTTATATTTGGTGTTCATTCCAAGTATTTATTAAAGGTATTGGGAAAAGATTCAGAAGGTCTTTACGTGTTTTTATGCAAATGTTACAGTTTTCAACTGCAAAGATGTATGCACACTGTACACAGTAGGTGACCTGTAATCTGTATACACAGTTTTCCTAAATCTCTGTACTCTCTATTCACTTTCTGTGTAGTACCTGTAATTCCTAGAGTTCATTTTGCTGCAGATGTTAACAGTTTCTGTAATTTGTAATGACAGTAAACTGGCCTTTGCTCTTCCCTTATTCACTATTCATTTCTAGGCTTGGTTAAGTAGATAGCTGGGTTAAAGATCAGTGGTTTTTCATGTGACACACTCTGGTATTCATCTAATAGCTCGT